CCAACGAATAGTGGGATTGACCTTCACATTATAATGCCCCCATGGCTGAAAGGGTGAGCATGTTTGGTGCGACGAGGATTCGAACCTGCAACCCTCAGATTGCGAGTAGAGAGCCCTAACCACCTGGCCATGCCGAGCCTAAAACATCATGAACTAGGTAACTGTGTACTGATTGCACAAAAAATGGAAGTTTTTGTTTTGAGGTGTATCGATAACAATCAGTCGTTGATGTTTAAAAAAATTACAAGGGTTATATACAGCCCCTTTCAAACAATCCACAGGGGCTGTTAATGGGCTGATATGTATCTCAACTATCTGTTTATAAATTATAGGATAAAAGTTAGTTTGTATACAATCAACAGCTGATAGTGTGGTCAATACAATGACAAATAATTACAGCATTTGAAGGTATTTAGTTCTGGATAAAAATAAAAGGACCACTAACTTCCCTAAAACAAAAGAAATCATGACAGACTTTATAGGGGTTCTTACAAGACCTCACAAAACTCATTTCACAGGTACTTTCACGCATCAGTGTAATGGTGCCCATCAAACAACGTGGAGTAAAGATAGGGATTTGGCAAAGAAAGAAATTTGGATATTGAAAAAGAGTTATGGGAAACAGCTGGTTAATAATGTTACAACTAACGGCAAGGACTTGTTACTTCCTTCAATGAAGGTGGACGGAGGTTATGTTTTCATCCATGTGTGTGTGTTAGCAAAATTTTTGAATGGCTGAATGGATTTGGACAAAAGTTGGTATACATTTGAACTAAGACCCAACTTACAAGTGATTAGTTTTTCGAGGGTTAAGGTCACAGGAATATCACAAAAATCCAAAAACTCCTTACCTGTTAACAAGGAGACTGATTTTTCACACTATTTTTGCTTTATAACTCAATCAAAAATGATCAGATTTTGATGAAAGTTGAGGGACATATATAGAATATTATTCCAAATTGTCCTGCCAAAAATGGTCCATATTCATTGATAATGACAGACACACGGACAGATTTTCATATTTTTTGAGAGACATATATGATCAACACAGTGTGGTGGAGGTGTGAGCTCAACTGAGTGCCCCTCTAGTTCTAAGTATGTTAGAGGTTAGCAAAATGTTAAAATGGACATTAGGAGAATAAAAAAAATGCTGATGGCAAAGGTTTTGTTGAAGATTATGACATGGCCGAGCCATTATATGTTTTCTACTGCTTTTACAAGAGCAGATGCTAGAAATACACTGAAATTGGACATTTCTTAAGAAGTACTGGAATTGACCTGAATGTTAATTACTTGATGGTAAGGAGAAAGATTGAGATTTTAAAAGTTGAAAAAGCACCATAACCAGACAAGGTTTTTTCTCAGGGCTTTAAAGGAGGTCAAAGTTTAGATATGTAAACATTCCTCTCTTACATGTTTGGGAAGTCAATAGCTGGTGGGTAGGTGTCCGAGGATAGCCACTCCTAATTTCTAGAAGGAGGGGAGTGATAAGAACTGCCCTGGAAATTATAGGGCAGTTAGCCCTTTTTATAGTGGAGAAAATGTTAGAGTCTGAAAAAACAGCATTATACTATCATTTACTGAAATGTTAAAAAAGAAAGACAACATGGATTCACCTAAAGGAAATCTTACCTTATTATTCTCTCATCTATTTTAGAGGATGTTACTTATCTGAACAAGGTAAAGGGTGAAGATTTGGTGTACTTAGATTTTCAAGAAGCTTTCAATAAGGTGCCACAAAGAAAATTAGCTAGAAAATAAATAAAATTACAGTTCAGTCAAACTTGTTACTAGTGGAGTGCATCAGAGGTCAGTTCTTGAACCCTTGCTTTCTTGTATTTACAGTGAAATTGGTAGGAATATAATCAGTAAAGTCTGACATTATACCCATGAGTATTTCTACAGTATTACAGAACAACTTGGACCAATTCGTAAGTTGGACAAATGACTTGCAATTAAAGTAAGAAAAGATGATGTAGCTGGGTTACCATGGTTACTGTAGTTGGATCACAACAGCATGACTGAAGAAAAGGTTCTTAACAGTGGTAGATAAGTCACTCAACACTTATTATCTAAATCACATCCACAAACCTTAAACGAAGCTCCCATCCTTAGATGTGTTAATGTGATGTAAGTATCATTAAGCTATAGCTCTCCACCAACAGAAAGATGACACATCCTCCATGAGCACTTGCAGTTGAACATAAGCGCATTTTGGATGAGGCAAACTAAATGCACCAGAAGTGGGAAGAAAGGGTGGGAGGTGAGTATCTATCTCAAATACATTCTCTGGTAAGCAAAATGTTAACTTCAGAAACATTACCTCTCTGCATAACAAGTGTCTAAAATCCCACATTGAAGATGGTGGAAAGGCCAGTGAAGATAAAGAAATTACACAGGTGAGCTCCTTTCTGAAAACACAAAATCAGAAAGAGAAAGCTCATGGAGCACGTTGTCCACAAGGTGGGGGAGCTGGTCTAGAGGGGCATCACTTGGTGGGAGTTGCATCCTTGTCAAGCAGTGGATGCTCTTTACCCAAAAAAAGTGGTAGAGCAAAAGATGTTATTGAAAGAGCCCCTTGTCTGGTGCTAAAGTGTTGCCATTACCTCACAGACAGTCAGCTGAGCACAAGTAGGTTGTGTGTCTAGGTCTATAAGTCAGCTGTTCCATATAAGAGAAATACTTGGATGAGAAATTTACCACAATAATCAGGTGTAGGAAGTAGCATCCCAGACCCGTGTCCCAAGAAAAACACAGGACTCATCTGCCTGGTAAATAGTATTAGTAGGATTAAACTTTTATATTACGTCTTGGTGGTATAAGTATTACTAATGTTAGATTAGGCTTAGGAAGTGTACCTAGACTATAATTGCAATTCAGCTTATTGGTCAGTTATAAAACAGGTTAATTATCTTGTATTATTTTACATAAATAAAGCAATGACATTTAATTATACTAAATGCAAGATAATGCATGTGGATTATCATAATTCAAATTACAAGTATAAGTTTGATGGGAATAATCTTAACAGTGTCATGAAATAAAGTAATCTTGGTGTAATGGTTGATCAGTCTCTTAAGCTGTCCAAGCAGTGTACTGTTGCTAGCGGTACGACAAATAGGATTTTAGGTTTTACCTGCAGAGATATTGAATACAAGTCCAAAGAGGTTATAATGTCATTGTATAGGTGACTGGTTAGGCTGTACTTGGAGTATTGTGTTTAGTCTTGGACTTCTTACCTTAGGAAGAACATTGAATTGTTGGAAAGGGTTCAATGGAGGGCTACTAGGATGACATCTGGGATGGAGGGGCTATCATACAAGAGAGGTTAAGAGCCTTACAATTATTTTCTCTTGAAAAAAGAAGAGAAGGTTTGAAAAAATATTTGAAAGATAACGGCTGGATCTGAATTTATATATATATGTATAGTTTAGTTTAGCCTAGATAATAGATGATCAACTGGCAGCCAATGAAAATATTTTATCCAACCCCCTTTTTTTATCATATTTTATTTTGGCCAAACAAAAACAGAAAATAAAACTGTGACCAAGCAAACCAGTCCATTGATGGTTCTGAAGACTATTAAAATGTTAACTCTGCTATTTATTCAAAGCCATACAATTAACTGACAGTTTCAGCCCTCACAGTTCAATCTAGGTAAGAAATTAGACTAGGAACAAAAAATAATTTGGCCATCCCTAGATTAGATGGGCCAACAGGTCCCTTGTTGTCCTTAAAATGTTATGTTACGGATTAACTACCAGAAATGGGTTGGTTCATTACATAGTGGGGTGGCCTGTACTATACTTCCAGTAACACATTGGCCCTACTTCCCATAAAGTCTCTCAGTCTTATACCAATGGGATTATACCATCACAATGGGGAATTCTCCATATCAACCTCCAGCTTGGGACTGGGAAGCAAAGGTTCTCACTATGCTTTACTAGAAGAAAACGGGAGAGAATGCCAAAGAGGTGCTTGGACCAAAAAGGAAACATTACATCTGCATAAGTTCCCACACTTATAAACTGTGCAATGGGTTACCATAACTCCAGACAGCAGGCACTGTCCAGGTGCAGTTTGGTCTGGAACAGAAAATATATAGATACTGCAGAAGCAGTCTAGCAAAAACTCCCATACAGTAGGGTACATGCAGTGGCAGATGCTTAACACTGTCTGTTATCCCCTAATTGAGAGAAGTATTCATTGAGGCAACACTGGCTACCCAATGGGCTACTTTGTCTATAATATATACATGTATAAATTTAGAATAAAGTGGTTATGATATCAGAATAAAAAGAAGAGAAAAATAAACAACTCGCTATCATAGGGCAGAGAATGGCAAATGTAGTTAGAAATAAAATGAGCCAGGTATTGCAATGGTGCATGAGAATTACTGGACAAAACCAGTATATTGGTTTAAATATCTGGAAGATGGATCACCCTCTACTGGTGGAGAGCTGTAGCCCAGTGATGATTACGTCATAGTGTGGTACAATACATGTGAAGATGTGTAGAGGCGGGAGCTTTGTTCAAGGCTTGTGATATGTGCAGGAAATCTTCACAGCAGTGTATAAGATAATAGCTGTTTGCTGTGCAGAGGAGAGTGGCGTTTTTAAATTGGTTTTCTCTTGAAAAAAAAAAGTTGGAAGGGATCTCATTGAAATGTTTAAGATTGTTAAGAATATTGATAGTGTCTATGCACAATCTTATTTCACACTTAATGGTGAGAATGGTAGGACACAAATATAAATTTGGCAGGGTAGATGTCATCTTCAGCTTAAAGAGTTTTATTTTTTCTTACAGCTCAAGATGCAAAAATATAAAGAATGTGTCAATTGTCCCAATAAACCAAACACAGTTGTGATGTAATGCCTACAAAAGAAGGTGAAGCATGACAATGAATGTAGTTGCCTTTGGATGTGGTAGAAGCAATACATTTAAGGAAGTTTAAGGGAAGCCTTGATAAATATTTGAACGATAAGGAATGGCTTTGAGTTTTGTATATATAGTTGGATGAACAGGTCTCTTGTGATACTTAAATGTAATGTTAAATTACACCATAAAATGAAGCAAAATGTTTTTCATACAACTTCCAATAGATACAGTACTTGAAGATATTGATAACTGCAAAACAGAGGTACAGATAATTCATTTTTATAAATTGCCTCTTTACCAATCTCATACTAATTATCCACTGAAAAATTTTATTTACATATTTCTGTGTACTTAACAGTTTAATGGGTAACAAAAGGCTTTGTGTTTTTGGTACAATGTATAATATCTAAAAAAATAATAAATTACCTTACAATCTCACTGATAACACTTTGAAGTCTGAGATAGTTGCTGTAATAGCATTTTAATTTCTAATTTTTTCTTAAATTACTATCGGCTTTAACAATTTTTCAATTAAATGACAGATATCCAGATTGAACTTTTTTTTTTTATAATAAACATAAACTTTTACAGGATCATACATATTTTCAGTCATACACGTGAGTCTGTTATAAAAACATGTTTTTATAGTAAAGAAATGAAAGAACTTTATGGCAGTAAAGATTTAAAAAGTTCATCGTATATTCTAGAAAAGTCAATCTATCCATCAAGAAACATTACACTATCTGAATGTAACATTTCATGTCTACTTAAGTAGTCATTCAGGCTCTCAGGACACACATTACATTAATAGGATAAATACTGCTATCTAATTACACAGATATAGATTTAGTATCCGTAAGCTTATACTTGAAAAAAGGAAGATTTAGAGGGGATCTGATTAAGGATACAGGATTCAATATTGTTCATACGTCATCTTTTTTCATATTTAATGGTGAGACTAGAGGATAAAAATATACATTTTGGCAGAGTACGAGTCATTTTCAGCTAAGACAACTAACAGACTAACAGGGTGATTTGTCTTTGAAATGGGTTGTCTTCAAATGTGGTGGATGCAGTTTATGAGATGGCTTGATAAATATTCAAATGATAACAGCTGGCTTTATTTATTAGCTTTTTTCTTTGAAAATAAGTTTAGTGGATGGGACAGCCTTGATGGACCAACATGTCCCTTGTTGTTCTTAAATGTTATGCTACATAAAACATTATAATGCAAACAATTTAAAAATAACACTTTATAGTTTTCTTTGAGTAGGTACTACCCAGGAAACTTATTAGTGTGTTGGGTACTCAGAGAATCATTGAAAATGCCAAGTAGTTGATAAAAATTGGCTTAGTGGTAGACAGCAGAGTGGTAATACACATAAAAGGCCACCTTTCAAATTTGGAAAAATGAAATTTACTGTGGCTGTCCAATTTATGTTTTGAGAAAATCAGATTATTAAGGCTCTCAGATCTTTCTTGTTTATTCCATATTTGTACTTTCTAATGATACTAAGAATGTTTATTTTTCTCTTATCAGAGTTCTTTCAGTGTCAAAGCATTTTTCTTGGTGTTAACTTTCCTTAAAAACTTGTATGTATTTACAGCCCATGCAACAGTATAGTTAACATATACCACGTAAGTCATAATATATAAGCAAAAAATGCAATAGAGTTATCTGTACGTCATAAAATTTGAGGTAAACTTGTGACAGTAGTGTGACACTAATAATATAGTGGGGGGGGGGTAGTTTCTCCGTTCGCCCCCACGTTAACCCTTTCCTTAAATTTACACAGAAATTACGCTATTAGTACTAATTTCCCAATTATATGGATTTATTCAAAATGATGATTTCGATTTCTTTCTGTCATCTGAATGTGCTTTAAGTTAAGAAGTTAAAAAAAATATCAAACTTAAATTCACTCTGAAATTGAACTTCTGACGAAATCGTGTTTATATTATAATTATAAATACCTTGTAAGCATATCCACGTGGTTTATAAATTGAGTAAAAGAAAACCTGAATACAGGCTGAATAAATAAGTAAGAGCAAAAGCCAGTAATCTTCTATGACATATTTAAACGTTTGTCCAAAAAATCTAGTGAGAGGTATAAGAATTAACGATAACGAAACACAAAAACAGTAAAGACTAATTCTTCCATTCGTGGTGAGCGCCATTTTAGATGTTAGTAAACTATACTCTCGATAGATAGTTTTAATTTATATGTAAGATTTTTTATTCTGTTTAAAAATTCTCAAATTTAAACCCAAATTATTGGTTATAAATTATTAATAAAACCTCAAATGTTATATTTAATATTTGTTTTTACAGTTTTCCAAATGAAACGTACGGGTCTGTCTTGGTTCCAGAGTGCAAATTAAATCTGTAAAGGGGTCATAAACGTCACAAGAGGATGAAAAGATTGAGTCGGTGACTAAAAGTGAGGAGGATAGTGATTGAATTTTGGGACGTAAGAAAGGGAGAAATCAATAACATACCGTGGACTTCGTTATGACTGTTATTGTTAATTGGTAAGATTATAGTTAGTAGGCCATATCATTACTATCACGACTAATAGTAATAATAAATATAACTTTTTTTTATGTTTTCTGCTTGAGTTCATTATCACATCATATTCACAGACAAGAACTGAAGAAGGAAAAGCACATGTATGTATGTGCCACCGAATGAAAAGACTAAAAGTAAAGCCGAGAAGTTGGTATTTAAGATGGAATTTATACTGAGTGCTTACCAAAAATAGTATGAAGTAAATGGGTTATTTTTTAAACATAAAATCGTTATAACTTGTAATTTATATATAGGCACTAATGTAGCATAAGCTTATGTCATCAAGTGTGATGCTTAGAGATATGTGATATAGTAATTTGTAAATAAAACTAGTTTGTAAAGAAAAAATTAAAAGTGCTTAACTTAAGAAATCCATAAAATACTCAAGTTTCGAAGTAAAAGTTAAATTACAATGGATATAAGAAGAAAAGTAATAAATGTAAACAATGATAATATCATTTTTGTGAAATATATATGAACCTAAATAAAATGCACAACTTCTGATGGTTACATGCGATTTTTTTTATAATACTTAAAGGAAATGCAGTAATGTATTTAAACCACTGTATAATTCTATATTATAATAGTTGCAAAGGAAATGTAAACTTCATCATCAATTTCATGTTGGCGATGCCAGTCAAGTGTAAGATAAAGTAAATTGTTCTAATTTAAACTTTAGCATATGTATGTATGCTGTACTTTTTTCTGTGTGATTTTTGAAATAGCAGATTATTGTGATAAGCTTAGCTGCACATGGATTCTTTTTGCTCAAAGATCTTAGTCCTGGTGTTTTAGTCTAGCCCAAATGTAATCGGAACTTTGTCGGGACTTTTCTGTTTATTGTGAGGAGAACAAGAAGATAACTTTGCAACAAATGTTAAGTGAAACATTTTATTTGTACGACTAAGAATTCATAAAAGTAGTAAAAATGCTAATTGTTTTCCTCACTTTTAATTTCTTAGCTGAAAGATGTAGGTGTAAATAATGATAGAAATGTAAAAATGTTTTATAGTTTCGGTTGATATTTAAATGACTGTACAATCTATTGCATCATAGAACGACTTATAATTATTAGGCTAGACTCATGACTTCGTAGTTTTCTATCAGTTTACTTTTCCTTTTTTGCTAGTCTGAAAGATAACTAACATTAATACTATTCTTCATTACCCAATCGAGCCGTCTCCAACCATTATTAGTCTCAAAGTGGGTTCCTCGTCATCGAATTTGAATACTATTGGATGATTCATTACAATCATAGGCAAGTGAGGAGAAACAAAAGGTTGTTATTAATGGATTAATGTTACAAATAGTGTGGCTCGGGGTGAGAGTTGGGGCAGTTGCTCTTCCTCATTTGATTTAATAACATAATGGGGGGAGGTAGTTAAGAAACTAAATTGGTTATGGTCTGACTGGCTGTAATGAAGATACTTTGGTTTTACAGAGTGACTTGAATTGGCTGGTTGTTTAGACAAATGTGGCAGATGTCACTTAATTATGAGAAGGTTAAGCATGCTGGTTTTCTTATTATAAACTAGCTGGAGTACCTATCCTCTTGACAAAAGTTTTGTGAATTCATGATTAATGAAACATTATCTTAGAACATGAAAAGTTGCTTCTTTTATATGTAATTAAAAAAAAATGCTCATATAAAACTGCAAAACAAAATGTGAAACCACAAATTTGCATATATCTCCGCATGGACTCAACAAACCTTCATGCCAAATTTGGTGAAGATCCATAAACAGAGGGTGAAGTAGTGGTAAAAAAATTCAAAAATGCTCATAAAAAATGCAAAACTGAAAATTTGCAGGTACTCCTTCATGGACCTAATGAACCTCTCTACCAATTTTGGTGAAGATCCATCCACACTCTGTGAAGTAGTTACATTGTCATACAACAGTCAGTACTATTATATTTATATAGATTACACACAAAATTTAGATGAGGTTACTCTTGATGATTTAGAAAGTTAAGACACCATTATCTGGAGCAACTCGATTTCTCCAATACCATGGTAAAAACCTCTGGAACAAATTGATTTCTCCAATACCATGGTAAAAAACCTCTGGAACAAATTGATTTTTCCAATACCATGGTAAAAACCTCTGGAACAAATTGATTTCTCCAATACCATGGTAAAAAACCTCTGGAACAAATTGATTTTTCCAATACCATGGTAAAAACCTCTGGAACAAATTGATTTTTCCAATAACATGGTAAAAACCTCTGAAACAAATTGAACTCGAGTAATATAACAAAAATTCAAGGACAAATGTTGGTCCATTTACGTTATCCCATCCATTAACATAATTTTTTAAAAACAAAACACTCAAAGTCAGCCCTTATCATTTAAATACTTATCAAACCTTCCTTTAAGCTCTTAAATTTACTGCAACCACCACATCTGAAGATAACCCATTCCAGATGTCTTAGTTGAAAATGACTCCAACCTTGCCAAAATTTATTTGCGTCCCCTAGTGTTACCATTCTCACCATTAAGTATGAGAAAAGATGATGTATCGGCATTATCAAATCTCTTAACAATCTGAAACGCCTCAATCAGATCCCCTCTAACTTTTCTTTTTTCAAGATAAAAGTATTTAAGAGATCCTTACCTGTCCTCATGACAACCTTTCCATCTTAGTAGCCAATCTTCGAACTTTTTACAACAATTTAATGTCTTTTTTTTTCTAAGGTAAGTAGCCCAAGACTGAACACAATACTCCAGATGTGAGCTAATCATTGACCTATACAATGAAATTATCAACAGCCTTTTTACTTGAATGTTAGAGGTAATAATTGTAAGCCATAGAAACACAAATCAAGAATTGTTCTCTGTCAGATATTTCATGTTTAGGATTCTTAACTTGTAGAATGCTTTACTTAATGATGTGATTTAAGTTACTGAGGATATTTATTGAGATTAATTGAATGGTTATCTTTGTCATACAGCTTACTGTCTCCTTGTTTGCATTAGTTTGAATAAATGAAATCTGTTGAGTGAACAGAATGAAAATAACTTTAAATGCTATGAATTCCCATATGAAAGTTATTTAGAACTGAATAAAACTTTATAATAACTATTGATTCTACAGCTAAAACACAAGATTCAACAAGTTAACAGAAGATCATTTGCCCATTAAGGTCATTCCATCTATCCAATGTCCATATGTGAACAAGAAATTTGATGTAGGGTGCAGTGATTAAACAAGATTTTTTGGGAAATTGTGTTTAGGAAAGTTTTATGAATGTTAGGAACTGCAAGTTAAGATAGCAATTAAGCAAAGTCTTTGAAGTTGAGAGTTTGCCATGGATCTTAGCATTGATATAGAAGTTTAAAATAGCATATGTTTTTTATGCTAATGCTAGAACAAGAAGCTTTTTTGGGAGGGGTCAGATTGCTACATCTTGTTGATATTACTAATTCAGAAAGTTTTAATGTGGCTCATAGGGAGCACATTGATAAGAAACATGGAGAGCTAATCCTGTTTGTGCTGCCAATAAAAATAGTTTTTTTTAAATTATAGTAGAATGTATAATTCAGGCTTCATTCCATGATGTTGAAAAGTTTCTTGGTTATGCAGATGTTTTAACATTTGACACATGAAAATACTACCATGGAAGATGCGTTAGATCTTGTTTGCACAGTAAAATCCTACTATGGAAGATATGTTAGATCTTGTTTGCACAGTAAAATCCTACTATGGAAGATGCGTTAGATCTTGTTTGCACAGTAAAATCCTACTATGGAAGATGTGTTAGATCTTGTTTGCACAGTAAAATCCTACTATGGAAAGATGTGTTAGATCTTGTTTGCACAGTAAAATCCTTCCATGGAAGATGTGTTAGATCTTGTTTGCACAGAAAAATCCTTCCATGGAAGATGTGTTAGATCTTGTTTGCACAGAAAAATTCTTTCCATGGAAGATGTGTTAGTTCTTGTTTGCACAGAAAAAATCTTTCCATGGAAGATGTGTTAGTTCTTG